GGCGCATTCTTTTACAATAATATTATAATATTATCGTGTCATCACGTGCAGAGCGGGACGCATTCCAAAAAACGCGTACATACGTGGACGCCAGTGGTGAAGTATTTGAGGATTTATCTAAATAATAATTCATAAAATATATGATAAGATAAAAAACGTACTCTATAATATTTACAAAATAATATAGATTCTAGGCTCAGCATCGCGATTGTATATAGATATCTTAAATCGTTACTCGCAAGCCTTAATCAACTGTTGCTTAATATCAAAAATTAAAAATTCGATATTTTCAAATTTACCATCCATGAAGAAATGCTTGTTAAAGTAAAATTATCAACGTTAATAAGTACAAATGTATGATGAAAAAAATGCTCTCGGGGCGAGGAGTAATACACTGTATAGTTGTGATCTGTAACCGTCGTGTACTCGTACTCATGATGTATTCAGTTCTCGCGGATATAATTAAGTCGTCAAAATGTAAAATGTAGTCAATTTTATTTCACTTGTATTTTTATATTCATAGGTACTTGCAAAAAGCTCGTTACAAAAAAAATCAAAAGAAAGCCGACAAGTCAACCAATGTGATATCCGTGCCCAAAAAGGGCAAAAAACACGCCGCAGTACCTGCGGTAGCAACAACAGCAGCGAGCAACAGCAGCAAAGTGGCAGTGTCGTCCAACTGCAACGTCGGCGGAGTAAGTTTAATAATTCCGAGAATTGAACATACCGAAGAACAACAGTCAACCGCAACGAATATCGTCTGCAAGCCTTTCGAACCGAACAACATATCGTCCTCCATAGGTAATTTTTTAGCATACCTATACCACGAGTACAATTAGTACAAACTATAAAACTATCAAACGTTATTAAAGACAGCGGAAAGATTAATTTATCGATAAAATAAAATAAATGTTTTCTTAAATATATATTTTTTTTAATATTATATATATATGTATAAAAACTATCTATACAAAATGGCACAGTGAGAATAATAATATGTGATGAGAGAAGTTTTATTTTTGTATGAATTACTTAACTAAGAAGTGATCCAATATTCCAATATAGTTACATTTAATTTGGAGGCAGGTCGAATGACTTAGAAAAATAAAAATGGTATTTCTAGTTTCGATTCGTTCAGTAAATTATGAACAACTACCTAAAACAAATATTTGTAATTGAGAATAAAATGGATCACAGGTATACTATGGCTGTAAGAGATACTTAAGACGTGTCCTCTTGTGGTTAATRTCTTAAATTCAGATTAAATATTTTTGTCACGTATTCTGGTATTCATATTATGGTTCGACTGGTTTGAGATCATTATAGGTAGTACTTATATTTTAGTRCATATTATGTATACGTAGAAAGTTCCACTTTAAACAGATAATTTAGTTATTATGATTTTAACTAGTGCAATAACGGTTTAGTGGGGATTTAACTAGAATATTTAATGTAAAATAATGGACTTAAATATAATGAGATTTGCTAGTAAAAAAGAGCGGTTGGTAATTGGGMCACATTTTATCTACCTACTTTGTATTTAATATGTTTGCCTTTATTACCCGGAGATTGAGCCATAACACAAAAATATATGAATATAACTTTAATGAGTAATTATTATTTTTCTTGTACATAAAAATATAATTATCTTTTTAAAATGCCATACAGATTTTACGAATTTAATATAGAATAAGGCACTTACATAAAATTAGTCAAATATTAATTAATAACATATTTATAATTTTTRAAAATTAATATTTTTTCTTCTCTCTTCGACATTGTAACTTTYTTTGTACTCGTACGTATATCACCTAACCATCATATATAATACTAGGTAATTACGAATAACATATTTTGCAATCAATTAAACGATCGTGATGTTTTATAATCTTTGTAAATTACGCTTTTGACTATTTTTATTTATTTCATTTGATGGCAGYTTTGCTAATTCTATATCATTTATAATATTGAATTATTTATTACCTTTTGATAAGGCACAAGATCACTTCAAGTAAAGTTTCGTGTGCGCTCTTAAGTGTTAGGTATTTTAGAAATGTATATAAGTATTAATTCCTGGGGTCTTTAATAATGTTGTTGATAATTATTTATTATTCATAACTTTCAAAATCGTAAATATATTTTATTGGTTTTTAATTTTTCTCGAATATTCTAGCTCTTAATTTTTATTATGATACTCTKCATCCATAATTTATTTTAATAATATGGAAAATAACACGTTACTTCAAAAAAATTACGTTTGAAAATTAATTTCGTTACAGTAATTTGGAATTTGCGTTACGTACGTACTACCCAACACAGAGCCYAGGTGTATTAMATTTTCAGTATTTATTTACAGTATTAAATTTTCATCTTAGAAGCCAATATAAAAGCGGATTGTCCCAAACTATTTACATAATAATGTTTCATCAAAATAAGACATTAAGTCATAAATCTATATTTAATAATAGTACCAACAAAATATGTTTCTATAATCATATGTAGCCATATAGGTACACCATCATATTTATCATCACTGAGGCCGTAGAACCAGCACAGTTATCGAAATATTTGAGTCTTTTCACGAAATGTGGATATGCATTCTTTTYGGATTATATCGATTTATTGTTTGGGAAAATATTTCAATCTTACTGAATGATTTTAGATCTGTATATAGTCGCTATCGTATATAGTATAAATTAATAAGTTGTTCTTTAAACTRAGGTAGGTATATATTATTAAATATTATGTGATATCGTTGATTATAAAATATAAAATATACTAGTATAGGTATAGTATATATATATAGGTAATATATTGACTCTCAGTGATACCTCGAAAAACGTACCTATAAAGTAATTCTACTATACACCGTAAAATACAAAGAAGGTTGTTTGAAAGCTTGATAATATCAAAAGTTTTATTTTTTCAGTTGAAAAAACGCCAGAAAAATGTTTTTCATTTATTTTACCGGACGAATTGAAAAACATGTCGACCGAGACGAAGAAATTACTGCTTGGCATTTTTGAACCAACAGCAAATCAAAAGACCAACAAAATAGTCGTTTACATTTGTGTGCCGGACAATAAAGGCAAGTGGATACAAACAACGTTCGTCGTTTCATGTCAGACTTAATTTTTATCACTTAATGTTGTTGGTTAAGTTATATTAGTACTATKGTAGACGCAAGTATATAGGTACATTTATAATAATATTTATTATAATTAAAAACAATGCCTTTTTAAACGTGTATATAAATTTTTATACGCTAGCATATCGGTAATTTAGTACTTGTGTGTTGTRTTTTAATTCTTGTTTCAACTTCCAAGTTCAGTAAGGTTATAAACTTATCGGTTTATTCAAATTTTACTTATGGGTTATATTTTTATAATTAATATCTAATATGATATAAGGAAAACGGTTTTCGTCTTTAATATATTGTTGAGTTACAAAAATTTTAATTCATCATTGAGCAATTAATTATTTTAACAATAAATCGTATATTTAATTCCATATAATATGTTCCAACCTAATGTCAATATTAGAAAATTTTAGAAAAAAATAACGGTATACATATATACGTAGTTATACAAGCGTGTTATTGTATAAGGTGATTTTTTAAAACGTATTGTGACTCACAGGATTTTCGGACGAAAGACAAATCCTGTACAAAAACGTGTTGCCAGAAATCCGGACGAAATGCACGAAAATTGGTTACGAATTGCACGTAGTRGACCTGTACTGCGACCATCAGCAACAGAAAGAATGCGGACAGCTGGATACAGCTGTCCGGCTGGCGGAACTGCGGCGGCAAACTCGTGTTGGTCACGTCGTGCCTGTTGTGTTCGTAGACGATTCGCTGGGTCCACCAGTCCTGCCACATGTGATGACCAGACAAGACTTCGATCTGGCCAGGAACAAAACTCCGGACGCCAGCAAGCTGATCGAAAAATGGTACACGCTAGATGCGCAAAAAAACCACTACGAGCTCCGAAACGAGATGATGTTCGAAACGACTTTCGAGACTCAGGTAATAAACATGATATATAGTAAAAGGTATATAGTCTTGGAACGGCGCCGGGATTTTGTCCTCATGGGTGAGGGGGTGGTCTATAAGGCAACTTACAAGCATATTTTTTAGAAGGGCCAAACTAAATTTTTAACTATTTAAAGCTAAATTCGAAAAATCTGTACAATGTACTTACATTTGTGTACCTTATGTATGACCTTTTTTATGTGTCTTGTCCGTTAAATATTAAAATAAATAAATATGTATATACCTATTGTATCGTATAAATTGTTTCCAGGAAGCTGATGAAAAACTATGGCATGATGAGAAAGTACAGCTGCAAATCGCACTCATGAAGACGTTCGATTCAAAGTCGTTGCGGAGCGGTTACATCGAGCAAGTTTTGCAACAGGTAAACTATCAATAAATTATAATGTTTGATTACTATAATTGATTCATGCGTACCGAACAATAAGTATAATAATCTGAAAATGGAACATTTTATATTATGCACACAGGAAGTTCGTAATGAGATCATATTGAACGCTGAGTTGGCTAAAAGGTCCATGTGGATTATCAACAATTATGATGTGGTTTCCGGTAATAAGTGTAAAACTACTGCGGTCGAAACCAAGAAGAGACTTGAACAACTCAGCAAACAGTTGAAGGTGTCGCATAATTTATTTAATCCTAAGTCCTAACTAATATAAATATTTATTTAAGGKTTTTCCGCGAATGCATTCGTGTTTTTTAATTTTTCTATGTGTTATATACTTATTGATTTTTGTATGCGTTTGTTTGATATAGAATGAATTGCCGGAAACYAATATCATATTTTATGAGACCGCCAACGCGGCGGAATCTTTAAAAAAAATAGGATCCGTACTAACGACTATTATTGAATCTGTGGATAAAGAAAGGGTGAGTATAGTTCAGTATATATAAATACGAGTAGTACATAATATTAATACAATAATATGAGTAAAAGTATTACAAAATAAACAGTATAAGTAATCCTTGATTTGGAAAGTTTTTTTAAATGGGAATACRGGATGCAAAAGTTAAGAAATGTGTGAACCTGAAAATTGAAATGGCTTATTGGTTATGATAATAATTAGAAGGGGTACGCTCGCTAAAATATAATTTTTATATTAAATTTTCTATTTTCCTGTGCTCCTCGCAATTTAGCTATTGACTAAATATCGATACTGCGAGATCTTGCATGGCATATACATAYAGTAAATTATATTAATCAGTGGCGAAAATATGGTTATTTGGGGGGACTAAGCACCTAAAGCCCCTACAAAATATCTTTAAGGCTTCTGAGTTCTGAATATAACACAGGTATACCTCTAAAATGAACTACATTAAATTTAAAAGGATTCCCGAGGTTAAGGTTTAAGCTCTCTGGAACACTTGCTGTTTGCGCCACTGATCTGAATTTCGACAATTTTCGTCAAAATAGGTAACGAAAAGTTAAAAATACTTTTTATAAAACTATGTACTTTTACTTTGTAAAATTCTTATAATTTTTTCACTGTAATACTGATGAATTAAATTGAAAATATTATACTGATAATGTTGTTGTCGATATGTATACATAGGAAAAACAAGAACCTACGTACGGTGTGAGTGGGCTTCTGTTGGAAGAGCTGAGGATTCAAGCGTGGTTCGGGTACTACGCGGCTAAACGGACTGTTCGTCGGGATGAAGCTATGGAACGTGCCAAAAAGTATGTATTATAATATTATGATATAATGCGTTGAGATGCGTAACTGCTTCACTGCTATACGTATAAGGTATAACTAGACAAACAATGTCTGTAGTTATCTAATAGTAGAAAACTAATTTAACCTATAGGTTAAGACTCTAAGAACATTATAGTTGGCTGTTTTTTTACGGTTGCAGACGTGTAAATTTTACTGGACAATCTGCAGATTTAATAACTTACCTGTATTGTTGTACACAGGTATTTGACAGACGGGAACGCAGCGTACCCGTTGATACTATACGGGCCTTCAGGGTCGGGCAAGWCCACGGTAATRGCGTCCATAGTGAAACACTGCCACCTGTGGAATCAAGACACAGCAGTGGTGGTGAGATTCGCCAACGCGTCCGCTTACAGCTCGTCGCTGGAGCAAACGCTCAATTCTTTGGTTGTTCAATTGAATCTCGTGGACAGCGGAAAATGTACTTGGTTCAAGCACGTAAGTTCCTTTTCTGAAAAATAATTTTTTTTTAAATTCCTTATCTATACGCCGCCGTCATTTTCAGGATGTACAACTGTACTCGGAACAAATTATACGGCTGTTGGGTTCGATTGGATCGAAACGGCCTGTGACGTTGATCGTCGACGGAATCGATCGAGTAATTATTTCGCTGCAGATGACATTATATTTGTAACTATATAGGACTGTRAAATTTTTAGCGATTTGTGGCCATAGCTCTCAAATTTCAATCACTTCAAGGTTCCAATTATGTATAAATGTATAATAGAGTATTTAATATTATATCATGTCGATACTCTATATTATTTTGTTTTAAATATTTTTATAGATTTAATAGATTTTAAGGCTCATTTTGCAATTTTACTAAGGARATTTCGTGAATATTGTTAGGGTTTTATATACTTTTTACGTGGAGTACAAAATATGTAATGTGATATGCCATTATAAGATTAGTTCAGATAATAGAAAATTTAGATTAAACTTCATATATTATTTTCATATAACAATATTATTTATTATTATTATTATATAAGTGTTAGATTTGAAATTYATAACCTATTGGATTTTATAGTGAATCGTTTATTCACAGCTATATTATTGGCTATACATATATCTATACAAAGTTTCCGCCATTTATTATAATTATTATTTTCTTCACGTCACGTTCGTTTGTGTGTACAGTTTGAGAACGATTTAGTGGATTGGATACCGCAGTTGCTGCCCAACAACGTCAAGATCATAGTGTCTGCCTTGGAGTCTTCAACACATCTTAACCAATTACGTCAGACCATAAAATCGATGGATTCGTATATACGGGTTGGTTATAATTTTACAAGTACTCATAACATATATTTTTATGTTATTGATTTGCGCACACAGATAACGTCAATCTCAATCACCAATTATTGTAATATATTTGAAAATTACTCTACCTTCTTGTGTTAATAGATCGCGAACATGACGGATGAACAAATCGACTCTTTACTATCAGCGGCGATCATCCGACCAATTGGTAGTGGTGGAAGCGAAATGACCAAAACCAACGACAAAACCGTGGCCGCTAAAACACCGTTAGAACTTCAAGTGAGCTCGCTGTGTTCCAAGATACGAAACTCGAAACTACCACCCTCGTCGGAAAAATGGGTWGAAGCAATTTTTGACAACATCGAATTGCATCTCGGCAAAGACAAGGTACGGGCATACCTCAAGCTTATTATGTAGTATCTATATCATAAAATATAAATTTACAGATAACAGGATTTGCGACTGGCGATGAGAATAAAATATAAATAATAACTAATATGAAAATACCATTTGGTATTGTTTATCGTTTTCAAAGCGTTTCGAAACAATTAAAACGGTTRAAACCGTTTAAACAATAAATACAGTGCAAAATTTATAACTTTTGAACTGATTGAATATTTACAAATGTTTCGAAATCGTTTAAACGATAAATGATACTATATTGATATCAACTCCTTTTTAAATTGAAAGTTTTATACCTAAATTATTTTAATGCTTCATGATAATATTACAATACAAACATAGTAAATATTATTTACAACAAATATTTAATTGTAACTTGTATYATGTCCTAAAGGTATCCTCCGTGATTGGGCATATGTGTTCTACCCGATACGGTTTACTCGACTCGGAGTTGGTCGAATTATTATCTACAGAGAACGAATTTCGCTCTTCAGGCCTTTCCGTCTCTGGTAAGTGATTATAATAATATGATCTACTCGTATCTGTAGTAATATATAACCCTAAATGTTATAAAAGCAGAATGCGTTCATGAGAATTTATATATTACACGTCATATGGCCGCTTATAATAAAAAAACATACATATAAAAGTACCTAATAAGTCGATAATACAAAACAAAACAGTCTCATTTTCCTTGAAAAAAAAATAAGAGCAAACCACTCGCTTTTAAAAAATATTTTTCAACAATTGTCAAAATTTTGCTTTTTCCGAAAAGTGATTAAAAAAAAATTTTTATTCTTACGTTTAAATATTTTGTTGTCATTATATACGTACATTGTACACATCATTATTACCTTTTTTCCCCTCTTTTTGAAACCGGGAACGGGTGGGAACTGCTTAGCACAATACTTACTAAACATCATTATCACCTATCATTATTGACGATACCTAGCTATTTCAATAATCCATTCTTTATATCAATTACAATAAAAGTCAATAATAGAAAATTATTATAGCTCATTATTATAAAAAAATTTCAGTGATTTCGTCTTCGACCRGTCTATTTTGGGCAATTTTCAACGAGCTGATGTCATCGTTTTTGTACTGGTTCAAAACGGATCGGTACGCGACGGTCCGGTGGAAAAACATAGTAGTCGCCGAAGCTGCCAGTCGACGTTACAGCGCATGCATCCGGCGCGTCAATAAGAAAATGCTCTCGTACTATGACGACCAGGTATTGTGCCCCCAAAATTATTAAGAGTCCCTTCGAAGTATATTTAATCATTTTTAAAGRTTTTACAACATTTATTATTTTCCTAAAAATTAGTTTTCATTGAGCATATAATATGCATTCGAACACTATATACAAAATAATATGTACCTAGTAGGTATCATAATAAATTAAATTTTTTTTTATCTTATTCATTATTTTATGAATTAAATATTTAAAAAATGTGGATAATATGTACCTATATTTATGTTGAGAAATTGAAAGATAATAAGTAAACACGCATTTATTCGAACGATTTTTGGAAGGTAATACCACAGATTATMTAAACAAATTTATATAATCCGTGTTAATACTAAATAAATAATAATGGGGCATTATTACATATATTATACAGGGTRTCCCGCGAGGATTTACYCATTGCGATATCTTACGAAATAATAGACATATCAAAATTCTGGTTTTATAATAAGATTCATAGGAATATGAACTACAATTACTTCATTTTTAAATTTATTTTAATGTTTTTGTAAAAAATTTAAGAAATATATTTTTTTATTTATTT